GAAACAAGAAACAGACTGATAGGGACCAGAGGGAAGGGAGGAGGGTGATAAGAGAGGATAGGAGGGCCTAGTTAAAGAACCAGTATAAATGACCGTGGACATGGGCAACAGGGTGGGGATTGACTGTGGGAGAGGGAGGAGGCCCAGGGGAGAGCAATGGGGGAAAATTGGGACAACTGTAATAGAACAATAATTTTAAAAAAAATTATGTTGAGCCCTGGCTGGTGTAGCTCAGTGGATTGAACACGGGCCTGCAAACCAAAGGGTCACTATGTTTGATTCCTAGTCAGAGCACATGCCTGGGTTGCAGGCCAGGTCCCGAGGAGGGGACACATGAGAGGCAAGCACACATTGATATTTCTCTCCCACTCGTTCTCCTTTCCATCCCCCTCTTTAAAAATTAAATAAATAAAATATTAAAAAAACTAAAAAAGAATTATGTTGAACCACTTCTGATAAGGCAATAACTGGAATAATGCAGATTTATTCTATTCGCTGTGCATTTTTTGTGTAAACTGCTGATGTAGCAAAGATATACATTACTATTTAGATAACAGCTAATATTTTTTAAAGAATTTTTTGCATCTGTCATCCCAAATAAGATTAGAGACTAATTTTATTTTCCTTCCTTTTTTTCTTTTTGAGTACTTTCTTAATACATTTGAAGTTTCATTTATGTAAGATTAATAATATGCACTAGGAAAATTTATGCTTCCATGGTAAAGAATAGTGTAAGTGAAATTGGAACTATGTATTCTTTAAAAGTAAGATACAGCTCAGTTATAAAATAATCATGCCTTTAACTTTTTTAGGGGATGCAGATTTTCATTACTTTTCTAATCTCTTCTTCATTGTCTGTCAAGTTTTTCTCTTTGTCTTATAATCTATTTTTCTGATCTTTGCCGTAGCTTTGGTTATGTATCCTTTCTCATTTCTCATATAGCATTTCTTATAGGAAGTTCAGCAACTTTGTAATTATGTTTGAAAGACCCGCTATAAAAATGTATTTATCTTTACTATTTATATCCACTTAATGAGTTTTAGCTTTTATATTTATAATTTTTACTCTATCCTTTCATTTTACTTTGAACTGTGTTTTTTCATAACATAGGCATTTATAGTTATAAATGTTCATCTGGATATAGCTTTTTGCTGTGTTCCAAAGGTCTCAGTATGATATTTTCTAAAGTTTCCAGCGATGATTTTCCAGAGAATTTTTATTGTGTTAGACCAATTCGGTAATTAATTTTCAGGTGATTAAGATTTATTAATCACATTTCAGATTTTTATTTCTAATTTAACTTGCTCAATATCAAAACAAATACCATATAAAACCTCTACATGAATATTTTTGTAAAAGTATTATTTGCGGTCAAATAATTTTTTAATGTTTTATAGACATTAAAAACAGTATTTTTAATTAATATACTCAGACTCTTTATATACCTATTAATTAAATGTTTATTGCTATATTTAATTTTTCTGCATTCTTGTTTATTTTTTGTGTGTATAAGTTACACTGTTTCCAAAGACTTTTCTTCTATTACAAGCTTTAATTACCCTAGCAAAAATAATGTATTATCCACTTAGGATTATTCAGGTGGCTCTTCAAAGTATCTTATTTTTTTTCTTAGGTTAGGAATAAAAAAAGAGAGAGAGAGAGGAATACACTGCAGAATAATGTCATATCAGTGGTCTCTGTGAGTCTGGCCTATTCTGGTTTCTCCACTCAGGAATAGCGAGGTTTTTCCCCTTCAGTTTGCATGTAAAGCCTTCTACAAGCTGCCTTACTGTTCTCCTCTGGTCAGTGATGAAATGCAGAGTATTCATATACAGTCTGTTACGTGTCCAGGCATGTCGCGTATTCTTTATCAAAAACCATTTCCTTTTAGAGGACTATGCCACTTTCCCTCAATTATATATTAAAACAATTTAGTAGTGTTTTTTATTTGCTAAGCATTTTTTCCTTGTTGGTAAAAATTCAACTATGCTTAATGAAGATCAAATGTTTAAAATGATATGTTATTCATAATAATCACAAAAAGCTGATAATATTGGATATACTCATATCACACCAAAAATTAGAAACCTCTTGAAAATATTAAAAAAGCACATGTAAAATGAGAAGTCTCTCCCTCTGCATACTGTAAATGATCTGTTGAAATCCAACATTACCACTTGATGACCTCAGTCTTTTTGTGCAGACTTGTTCGAACTTTTTGGTACCAACTTTTATTGACATACAAGGTCACTATAATTTGGGTAGCAGTAAGTAATGTTAGAGTCTGATACAGCTTCTTTTAATCTAAGGTAAAGAATTTAAGCTGATCATAATGAAGTATGACAACCGTATTCGACTAATCTACAAAGAAGAATATGTTATTGAGATAGTAATGAGACAAGCCACCCAATTAATTAATAGCAAATGAGACAGATTGCTTTGGAAGTCTTCCAAGAGATAAAGTACTTCTGGTGCTTTGCTTCAAAGGCAAGGTAGACCAAACTTCCTTAATCCCTGTGGGTAGAGAAAAAGTTAATTTTCTATGCCTAAATTTTATATGCCAAAATCTAACCCACAACAGAGACAGAACTGCAGGACTGAGAAACTCAGATGTTTACATTAAAATTATGAGTCTGGTAACCCATGATGACCATTATGAAATCCGAGGGAGCCCTTTTGATGTTTTCTCTACCCGAGAGTAACAATGGACATGTTATGATCTTGGAATCTATAAAATGTTTTTATTTATAGCTTGTTGGATTCTTGCAACAATATCCATTTCACAGTGAGGAAATTGAAGTCCTGAAATGTCAAACAATACACTCCTGCTATAGCTGGTAGGCTCCCACAGGTCTAATTGCAAGGCAGCCTTCCTCTCTCCATCACTGCCAGCGTGGCAACCATGGGGAACAGCACCCCCTCTGTTCCCACGTGCTGACTGCAATAGCCACAGTAGAGAATGAAGCCATGGCTAAAAAAAAATTTAACCTTTGCCTAAGCTCATTTATTTTTTCAATGTCTAACCTTGTCTTAGGAAAAAATAGAACGAATGGATTCCAAGTTAAAAGATCTCTGAAGTACTAAATAATCAAACAGATGCTTTCTCCCCATTAGATTGGGGAGCGCTGGTGAAGAGAATGGGAATTATCTCTTTATTATAACCCTGTGCTGAACTCATTCACAATTGTGGAGAGAACCTGACCCTCCTTGTGTTCTCTGAAAACTCCACGAAGTCCTATTTGGTTTGAAGAATCAAGTAATCTGATGCCAAATTAAATTCTCTGCGGTGCTTCTTGTTTCCCCGCTGAAGTGCCTTTCAGTTCTAGCTTCTTAATCTTGTTCTCAAATACCATTTGAATATAGAAAATATAACAAAACACACCACAACAAAACTGCTCTCAAAGCCTATTAATATCGTGTGGTCTATTTACCTCTGTTCTAGTGTGTCGAAATTCCTGAATTTCACTGAGAAGGAAAGATGGATTGCTTTTGTTTTCTAATCTCTGGAAAAGGAGTTGAGACATCAGTAGAAAAGTGCCTCTCTCCATCACCAGAGGAAGCTAATCAAGGAAAAATGTCTGTGGGTAGTAGATACATTAATCTCCCCCTGGATCGGGGGGCTGTTATGAGGTGTAACTAATTGTATCATTGGGATCATCTTGGTCTATAATAACATGCTCCGCAGTGACATCAGTGGTTGTAGGAGATGGATGTTGCATGTAAAGGAAGAAGCACTGTTCAGCTGGAACATCTACCTACAAGCCTGTGGACAACACAGTGACGGTCTGCAGCGAATGCAGCTACTGTGTTTCCACAATAACACAGTCGCCATATCCTGTCATCAGCATGTTTCTGAAGCTGTCTCAAGCTGTCATCATGTGGCAATTTCAGATCCACAGGCTCTTATAACAACTTAGTTCTGAAAAATGACCTCTGTCAAGGTGTCTACTCGAGTCTACTTTAGTGCTGAGCCCAAATGCTCAGAAATTTTCTTTTTAAGAGACTCCTACAGTACTTCAGTGGCAGGGTTAATTCATATCCTTGGTTTCCAATTCAGAAACTTTTGGTTTCCAGACCAAAGTTCTTCCTACATTTTCTATGCAGAAAAGGTGTGCTGTGATCTCTTGCTACATGTTAAATGCAGACATTCTGATTTGCCAGTCACTTATCCACCAGCAGATAATTGGCAGAATGGAAAGAGCCACCAAATGGACTAGTTGGACTTGGCATAGGCCTGAGGTCTGTGACTGCCTGCAACAGACACTTCTGTTCTTCAAGTGAGGCAGTGACACTCTTTAAGGTCCCTTCTTACTTTAAAATTGTATGCGTTGTTTTAAAGTTATTTATTCAAAATCTTTTTTTTTGCTTCTCTTCTACTAAACTGGAAAATCTTTAAGAGGCACAAATGGAGGTTACAATTTCTAAATTAATTTGAAAATTTAAAATTTTAAAATAATGTTAAAAGTATTTTCAATTTAAACAATTAAATGTACTTTTATTTAAAAAGTACCTTTTGGGATTTTTTTAATTTTAAAAGGACAATGGCAGAAAAGACCAATTAAATGCATTTTAAAACAGCAAGTTAGATGGATATACCATGTGCCTGGTATGCAGTATTTAGGGACACGGAACATCAGAATTTACTCAGGATTTCCTGGTGGCAAAAGCAAAAGGGAAAATTAGACTACATTTTTACTATCTAATTTTGTTTCAAAGGAACTGCATATTTTTTTTCCAGAGAAGTAAGCATTTCCTGGAAATAAGTCCATCTACACTGATACATACCCTGAAGTTAATTGAAACATCTTCAAAGGGACATTGATGTGTACTAGAGAAACACAACTTAGTAAGAAACAAGCCATCCTGTGCAAGCTATTTGTATGTTTACGAGAACAACCTAGAGAGAGCATTTACACATCTGCCTGTGCTGTTTTTCTTTTTCTCCGTGATAAAGTCTATTGCCATGCAATTAATCAATGCCTCTAATTTTATTTTGCAGAATGAAAAATCCCCAGGACGATCCGCAAGTCGATCGAGTAATATTTCAAAAGTAGGTGAACTTTATTTTCTTAATTGTTTATTGATGTTCATATTTTATGATTTTGAGCAAATATTTTATAATGTTTAACCTCTAATTCTCATCTGTGAGCAATACACAAATATGACTGGGTAATGACTTTGACTGCAGTAGTTCAAGTTTTGCTGTGATGAAAGGACATGATTTTACACAACAAGACAAGCTGTTTCTTCCTCTTCAGTGCTGTATGCAGAAGAGCATTTGCTACTTTAGAATGTCAGACAAAATCTATGTTTTTCCTTTCTCCTTTTAAGCATCACAGAGCTTCCAGATTACCCAACATGAAACTATATCGACATCCATCATACAATTTCCATGAATTCAATGTTTTGGGAGTTTGGGCTCAACAATGTAAAAATTTAACTCTTCTCGTCACCAGGGCAGGTTTAGGAAATCCATGTAAGACATTAGTTTGGTCATATTTACTTTAGTGTCAACAGATGAGAAAAACAAAATACTCCCTAGGCCACGCCTGTCAAACTCATTTTCACTGGGGGCCACATCAGCCTCGCAGTTGTCTTCAAAGGGCCAAAATAATTTTAGGACTGTTTGAATGTAACTGGTCCTTAACTGTTATGGAGCTGAAATTACATTCGGCCCTTTAAAGGCGACTGCGAGGCTGATGTGGCCCCCGGTGAAGATGAGTTTGACCCCCCTGCCCTAGACTGTCTATATATCCAAGGAAGACACCAGAGTGCTGAAAAAATTTTGTCATGGGAGAGATGTTCTAGGTTTTTATTTTGCCTTGGAAGCAACAATTAAGAGCTAGCCTCTGAAATGTGGCACTACACAATGCATAGCCTTGGTGCTTGGGGAGTGAAAAGTCATTTAGAGCTATATGTCAAGTTGGAAATCTATGACTTCCAAAAATATAGTTCAGACAGAGATAGATTTACCATGAATAAAATGTCCATTACAGGTCCCCTCACTTGCCAGCACCCTTCCACAACCTTGAACTTAATTTTGTATATGTAATTTGTATTTTTTCCTTTAAGAGGGTCCCCAAAATCCTGATAAACCTTATCCACTACAGAATTTAAATCTACTTCCAATTTAAGTGCACTTTAAATTTTTGGTTTATTTTGGGAAACAAAGGACTTCATGACTCATTGCAAAAAGTAGTAGCCAGACTATTAGCATTTCCTTAAGTCGGTTTTCCAAGGCCACTTCCTTCAAGACAAAGCCAGGAGGGCCAGGTTACAGACACTTGCAAACACACGGGGTTGATTACAGGAGGAGAACCCTGACTGTAGGAAACCCTAACATTTCTAACAGACAGTAAGCATGGCTACCTCCTGCCGCATGGGGAGACGACTTCTCTGCGTTACAAGGCTCTGCACTATATGAACATCCTTGGAAAAGGCAACCCAGAACAAAGGCAGTTAATGCTTCTCTCGCAAGACACGCAGAGATACAAGAGACTCGTGGAGAATTGTCTCTTGTATCTCTGTGTGTCTTGCAAGAGAAGCATTAACTGGGAATTGTAGCTCAATATATGATACTGAACATTCTAGTTACATTCAAATCTGGGTACCTTTGTAGATTGAGAGGCAATGGGGTGTAGTGGTTAAGAGTACTAACTCTGGAGAGAGAGGATCTGAGTGCAAGGTGCTTCTTACATGGGTTTTTCACGGATGTAACCCTTAGATCTTCACCTAACCTTCCTAAGACACGGTTTTCTCCTGTGTGGCATGAGAATGCTATCCGTCACCTGTAAAGGTTTTTAATTGGCTGTAAATTAAAACAATGCCTTTGAATTGTCTGTTATCTTAGTCACATCATGGCGAGCCTTGCAGAACATTGTCTTCTATCTGAGCTTAAATGTTAATGTCGACCTAGAAACGTGTAAACGGTCCTGACAACTCCTTGGTCACAGGAAATGTTGTTTCACTATCAGGGGTGAAATTGTATCTGCATTTCCAAACTGCTGTTTGAGCCTGACATAATGCAGCTTGTTTATAACATTTTAGCCTTTTAATTATTTGATCCATAAGGAGTAAAAAAGTCAGGAGTGTAGTTTCCATTCTGTTAGTTCTTCCAGGCTCTGCTATGTATCAATTGTATCATTGTGTGGGAGGCAGGCAGTGCCTGAAAAAAAATTGCATTCTATTCAGGGAGAAATGAAAAGATACCTTCTTTATTTTTTAGGTTTTTTTCTAATTTATTTTTTTAGAGAGAGGGGAAGGGAAGGAGGAAGAGAGGGAGAAACACATGAATGAAATGTGTGGCTGCTTCTCATGTGCCTCTCACTGGGGACCTGGCCCGCAACCCAGGCATGTGCCCTGACTGGAAATAGAACCAGCAGCCCTTTGGTTTGCAGGCTGGTGCTCAATCCACGCCGGCCACACCTGCCAGGGCTGAAAGCTGTCTTCTTCAACCGTCACTCTAATTGTACAACAGCAAAAATCAACTCTCTCACACCTCTGGGGAGAAAGAAGATTTTAGTGGGTATACCTTTTATTTAAGCCAATATAACTTTCCTTTTATTTATGGTCATAATGACAGTTACAAATGCTAAATACATTGTTGAGTCCTTGCTATTTTTTCATGAATTACTAAGTGATAAATTCTTTTTTAAGACCAAGTATGAAATGACAAAATCTAGCAGTGTTATAGGTTTTCTTTTTTATTCCAAAGTAGTGAAGGAGAAAACATTAAAATAGAACAAGGATGCTTTTCCTCTAATTTTGTCCAAATAATTTTTATATCAAAAAGAAGACTGAGTTTTTCAAGACTGAGTTAATCATTATAACAGAGTGATTAAGAGTAAGGCTTTCAGTGTAACTGTTCAGGAGGGGTAACTTCCTTAGTAACTGTGTCTGCAAAAGGAGAAAATGTAACAGTCTCTACCTCTGGGAGTGAGGCTTAGAACACTGGCTTCATGTAGTATTAGCTTTTCTTATTACAGGGCTTCAAGTATTTATATCTCAATAACAACATCAAATAACTCCTCATAGGCCTTTTCTGTAAGCAAGTGAATTTGAGACATGGGTTATAATGTGTACCTTGTTTTCTGACTGGAATGAAAATAAATAAGAGCTTTGACAGGATTAAGTAAGATATTAGTGATATGACATAATTTTATTGAAAAAAAAAGCACTGCATGTTCCTGTTTCCTTAAAAAGTATGCGTAAATATCAATAATAATTAGTAGTATCGTCCATGGTGGCTGTCTTCCTTATCTTTTATCAGGTTCGTTCCATCCCCTATTCCTTACTATGGAAAATCACAGATAACATGGGGGACTGGTCTTAGAATGGGATAGCAGAAATGCATTCCATGCCGTCGAGTCTGCTTTTCTGCCTATGTTTTGCTGTTTCCTCCTGAATCAGTAGACCTTCTAATCAATGTTTGTGGAATGTCTCTCATAAGGAGACTCGTTCTCTACTGGAATTGATGGAGTAATGGAAAAAGTCTTCCAAGTCCTCAGTGATCATAGAATGAAGAAGTTGAAATATGACATATACATCACATATTACATATTGTATGTGATATATATATATATATTATTGAATGGTATAACTTTTAATGCAGAGAACATAACAAAGCAGGCCTGAGACGCATATTCTTAGAAAGACCTGCTGGCATCTGGGAATTAGAGTAGTGCCCCAACTGACAGAGACAGTTCACTGTGCCTAAACTGTACAAACTATGTATTTTGATCTAAAGGCCTGCTTTCCTAGAGGAGTCTAGAATTTTGATATATAGTGGGCAGTGGGGACCTACCTGACCAACTCCAGTAAAAACTAGGCATTGAGTCTCCAGTGAGTTTCCCTGGTAGATGCAGCATCTCACATCGTCACTGGGGGAAGTGCATCCTGTGCAACTCCATGGGGAATAAACTTTTGGAAGGTTGAAAGTTTTCTTTGGTTTCCCTTTGCTGATCTTCCTTTGTCACCTTTCACAGTAATAAGTCTAGCTCTGTGTATGATTATACATTCCATCCTAGGAGCTGTTCTAGAAAAATCACTGAACCTGGGCAGGGTCGTGGCAACCCTTGGTATATTAGTCGAAAAAGTAGAGACAGAAGGCTATGAGGGTTCAGAGAATGATCACTTCCATTTGGAGAAGACAGGATAACATCAGAGAAGGTGTCTTGGAAGAATGGTTCATAAAGAGGCACTTGAAGAATGGATGTGATTTGATCAGCAGTCAGGAAAGTACATTTAAGGGGATATAGGTACAAGGCATAGAAGCTAGAAAACATGGACTATAAGGAGAAAGGTACATAAAATAGTTTTTAGGGCCCTTGACAGGGAACTTTGAAAATAGAATGCATTCTCTTAGTCACATTAGTGTTATCTGGTTTTGAGATGCAGAGATGTGTTAAGAACCCATCAAGATCCTTGAGATTTTTTTAAAGTAAATAGATATGAACCTGAACATTATTTTTGCTATTCAGGACTGTATAAACATGATCTTGCTATTGTGAATATGAAATATCCAAGTGTGGGATAAATAACAAATGTTGAATTATTGATGAACATTAAAAATGTTCTCTGTGGTATTTACCTCTGAATTTTTGTACCATATATTATTCTATTGGAATTGCACTTTTTTACAGTCATTCCAACTTTTAGTTTTTTATTAGTTTATATTTCTAGTTTGTTTTAGCACATGTAAGACAGACAGACATGTGTCTCTTTTTTTCTGTGCTAATAAGATTTGTGTACCTTGGATATGTTAAAGTTGACCAAAAAGCTGCAGAGTAGCTATATAGGTTTAAAACAAAACAATGAATGTGTGATTGCCAAAAGGACTTCTGTGTGAACCTGGCAGCATTTATTCATCCATCACTTACTCTTTCCTCTTTGAAAAGCTGCTTTTGATATTAGTGCTTTATGCTTTTTAACGCACATATGACTCACAAATTGGCTCCTCAAGATGCAAAATTAGCCAAATTTGGTCTTTCTTTTATTTTTCTTGGGTGAGGGATCATTATGTTCAACTAGCAACAGTGTATTATGTATTTC